TATACATTATAAAATTTATATTTAAAAAATATTTAAAAACAAGAATATATAAATGTATTATATATAAATATATAAAAAAAAACAATAATGATAACATTGACTAATGGAAAAAAATGTTTAAAATAAAAAAACAAAAATACAAAATTTCAAAAAAAAAAAAAACAAAAAAATATAGAACAATTAATATATTAATATGTATACCTATATATAATATAGATTCATACTTTTACTTAATGCTCTTCTAGAATTAATTATTTATTTAGTAGATTTGTGTTCGAATCTTGGTGTCCTAATATCGATTATTATTTGATTTTTTTAATGCTCGATAGGAAAAATATTAGGGAAAATAATAAAAACCGCCGATAGTACTTGTTTCAGGGCATTTCCTAGTCGGACAGCCTGACTAGAGCTAGCTTACTTTTTTTTGCTCGTGTTTCAGACGCAGCCAAGGATTACGATTACCATGCGCCACACAAAAATTGCCGGGATGCAGCATCTGGCCGCTGCAGTGCCAGAACAAGCCAGGACGAGCCGCTACGAGTTATTGCACCAGTAGCTGCAGCCGAACAGACGGACAGCTGCAATTCCCGCACTTTGCGACGACATGCCCAAAAAATTATCATTTGCCCATAAATTGGGGCAAGCACTTGGAACAGTTGAGCAGCAGCAACAGCAGCAGCAGACGATAAAGCAGAAACAAATGCAGCACTAACAGTTTCAACAGCGACAATTGCTGGGATTATCATCAATGCATGCTTTTCTATATATGCACTATGAAAAACAAAAAAAAAATTCTGGTTCAATTTAAGTAAATTAATAAAAAAATATATTTTTAATTTAATTAAATTTATTTATATTTTTTTTAAGTTTTCAATCCCCTCTTTCAAATTGTCTTAATGTGTGATTTTCCTTAGAAGAACTTTGCGTATATAAATATATAGATATTCCATCAAATAAAAGAATTAATTTGCCTTAACATATATTGCTCATAGACAATATGCAATTGATTATACCTCTAATAGCTAGGGTCAAGGATAATTCCTGAAAAAATTTCAATAATAAAAATTAAAAAAACGTATATAAAAACTTATATAAAACTTATATAATATAAAAACTTATATATATACAAGTGCTTGTATATAGTTATAGTTATAGTTTAAGTTATAGTTACAGCTTATAGAGCTTAATTTCGATTAATTTCAACTTTAAATTATCAATCAAATTTTAAGCAGCCTACAAATATTCAGACATTTGAATATTAAGCCAATTATTAGAAGAATAGAAGAAATTCTAAATCTAGCGATTTCAACTCTGATTTGAGTAAGGATTTTAGCCCTCAGTTACTCAACTGTAGCTATGATAAGACATTAATGCTACAGTCTGGTGATTGAACGCGCAAATCTTCTGAGTAAGCTTGGTAGTCGATAACCTTTAGCTTAAGCTGGGCAGCGTGGGTTTCCCCTACTAAAAACTTTGTACTTAGCTTCAGAATTAGTCATTCAATGAAACATAATGAATAACCATTTAATTGTGGTTCACTTCATGCATACATATATATATCAAATAATCGATTTGCATTTAATTCCGCATGCATTGAACACTTTGTTTAATTAAACGAATCGAATTGCCGAAATGTTGAGCAACTCTTGGCTGGCTTTTGTGCCTAAATGCACTGTAAATAAGTAATTAGCTCACACTCCGAGACGATTTCATAATGCACAATTTGCAATTAGTGGGCAGCATATACCCCACACTCAAGGCCGGCTGAAGGAAAGGGTAGCTCAGACTTGCAGAACGCATTTGCAGACTTGGCCGCAGTTTGGCCTCCGGCGAGAATTTCAATTAATTTTCACTCGATAAAGTAGGCTGCTGCGGTTACAGCTTGTAGGCGGGTAGCCAGCTGGGCGTGGCTGCAGTTCGCAACAGTCAAAATGGACTGCCCCCGCCTGCCACTCAGCCGCCGAGGTTGATTGAAAATGCGAGCCATGCGATATGGGAACAAAGTAGCCAAGTTAATGCCAGAAATGTCGAAACTTTGTCAACGTTATGATAGCTGTACGTTGAACTCTATGATGGCTGGGGCTGGGGTTGGGGGTGGCATCGGGGACGATTCTGCGGCTCTGCGGTTCGAGCCACAACAAAGGCCGCGCCATGACGGCGGCACGTAGCAAAAGTTTTCCAAAAACAAGATAAGCAGATTTACTTAAAGTTTTTCCGACGTGCTGCTGCTACTGCTGACTCTCGGCGGGCGGGTAGATAACCCAAAAGGTGGGCGTGGCTGCGCGTTGAAAAGTGCAGTATGTTGGCAGCACCACCTGCAACCCACCGGATTGCAGTTGTTAATTAGAATCAGGGTCTGATTAGCGATAGCTATGAAGCCCGATTGCATTAGCTGGGCGCTCAGGTGTGGAGAGTGGGCCGACTGCATTTACCTGTGCATTAGAGTGCGTGCACTCGACATTTGCCACCTGAATAAGACGCCCCCTGCAATCGAGTGAAAGGCAACACGTAAATGCAATCAGGCCGAAGCGCACGTAGCGATATCGAAAGGCTGTCAGAGTCGGGACTCTCGGTCTATTTGAAGTGGATTAATCAGAGTGTCGCTGTCTGCCGTCTTCTAGTAGTGACTGTTTCGTCCATTGGCACGTAACGCTAAGAAGCATTTCATGTGGTTTTAAAAGCTACACGCTCGTAAATCAAACAAAGGTGAAGCCCTCTGCCAACCTCACCTCTCCCTCTCTCTCTCTCCCTCTCTCAATGCAACATTCATAGCACTATTATTATTATTGCTGTTAGTATCAGCAGCATGAACACCTACACGTATGTACTTATAGAAATCGGCTTGGCAACAAATTGTTATCAATTTTTATTTATTTTCCCAACAGCCAGACTTTAGCTGAACGTGAATATGTTGTCATGGGGACTTTACAACTGTCAGAGTTTCATGAATCGTTCAGCATATGATATAAAATAATATCTTTTAAGTGCATGCAGCACAGCAGTTGTCTGTGGAGTCTAGATAGTATTGACATTAAGAATCACTTGAAGCGTCTCGTGATACAAAATTTATAATTCGCATAAGAATTTATAATTTATAAAACTACAATGGAGTGTCCTAGAAGTCTTAAGACTTATCACGCGAATAATATTGTTATCATATCTACCTTTAAGATCTTTAAGATGAATGCACCCGACTCGAGAGCAAAAGCTTTTGAATCTTTTTTTAATTAAATTATAAAATATTAGAAATTATAAAATAAAAAATAAATAAAAGTTTAACATTTATTTATTTTTAAATGGTGCACAAATTAATTATTAAGCTTAATATGTCCAGAAAAAAGTATAGTATTTAGTTTTTTTTTTTTCATATTTAACTCTAACTCTGCACTTCAAAATTTTTCGAGCCATTTAAAAACTTAAAAAAAAATTAATTCAATCCATTCATTAATCCGCTATTTTGTTTTAAATAAATATAATTCTGGCAGAACAATTTTTAATAATAACTATCAACTAGTCTTGAGATATTTCGATAAAAATATTTATTTACCAGATTATTATATTATTAAACGGTTCGAAGCTGCCTTTTTAATAATATTTAAAATTTAAGCCTCTTGAACTTTGAAGGACATTTACTTAAGAATTTTTTAGCCGATTGATAAATATAATTTTTTTTTAAATTATTATACTAATATTCGCAGCATAAGCTTTTAAGGTGGGCCATCAACATTGCCTAATTGAAATGGAATTAATTCAAGAATCAGCTCATTTTCATTTATCATACCTTTTAGAGCTCGTACTTATCCGTAGCATTCGCATGTCCTAGTCCTAAGTCCGTTGCTGTGCTATACTCAACGGTGTTTACTGTACTGCAGTTGAGTTGTTAAGGGATCAGGATCGTCAGAAGTCAACCGCAGCAAATCAAAATAATTGCGAGAAAAAAGGCAGGGCAAGGGCAAGCGTTGGGCCTGCTTATCGGCACGCCCGATGCGATTTTAATAACATTTTTAGAGATATTGCGCCGTTAAGGATGCCCGCAAGGACTCAGCAGGCAATGTTTATATTGCAAAGACATCAAACATCTAAACGGGCCACAGACGGAGATATCGAGGCCTGCCAAGAAAACAGAATAATAATAAACAATTCGGCAATTGTCTCTTGAACTGTCGCTGAGCTGCTGCTGCTTCTCCTGCTGCTGCTGCGAGGGTCGGGCATAAAGTCAAATAATAAAACATTTTAACTCGACATTTGATGGTTGTTTTTATTTCGCTGGCATTGCGACGGGCAAATAAAAACAAAGAGCACGACACGAGCCGTAGCTGGTGGCAGGATGCGAGGACATGAACCTGGCGGCAAACACCTTGAAGCGCTTTAATTTTTATGATTTGTCCCCGAAACGTCGACAAAGGCGCATCGTAAATCTAACAAGATGAGCTCTCTGCTCGCAAAATTTATGCAATTAGAAATTAATATTATACAATTTGATATCCTCTGTGGGTGGGTGTGGCTGTGGCACACGTTCGTCCTGCCATAAAAACTGGCAACTGCAATTTTTATGATATTATTTGAATTTGAATTTTTATGCCTGCGTGACTATGTGGCACGCATATTTCGCTTTGTTGTGGCCCCACTGTGCACTGCCGCCACACAAATTTGTATCTGCATCTATAATAATATTTTATTAATCATTTAATCCAGCCCAGTCGCCTGGGCGGACATTGATAAGCCGCCAACAATAGCAAAATGTGAGAAATGCCACAGCTGCTCCGAGTCCAGCTTCAGCCCGAGATACTTTTTAGCCCCGCGGCTTAACCAAAAGATACAAAGTCATTACAAGCGCATTCATAATTAATATATTTACATAGAATACCGAACAGGACATAAAAAAACTTGAGATCGAGCAGCGGCTGAAAAGCAGCCAGCGGAAGACAAGTTTGCTTAATGAGTTTATTAAATAATTTGATGAGCTTAGCGAGTGTGTCACGACTTCTGAAATACTCTGTGGGCTGTGTGGAGAGAAGAGCCTAAGGAGTGAAAAATATAAAATTATTTGATTATGGTTTACTTTTTTTTTTTAATGTTGGAAACAATTAGAAAGTTACAAACAAAAAAACTATGAAAAATGCAGTTTAAAATATTTTGTATATATTAGGATGTATTATATTTTCTAGCTTTTCTTTAATTAGAGAATATTGGATGGCATGATAAATTATAATTATTTTTAATTATAATTATTTTTTAATTATTAAAAAAATGTTTTTAATATTATTTTCATGCATTTTACAATTTTAAAAAAATATAAGGTATTATACACACTTAATATTTTTTTAAAATTTTGTTCATATATTTTTTTATTTCTTTTAATATCTTCTAAAATGTTTTAAAATATTTTTTTCAATTATGGCTTTAATACTACTCTCAGTAGTTAAAATCAAGAATATTAAATTATTCACAGTAATATAATAATATTGAAAACATATTATATTCATGTTTATTGATTGATTTCATATACGATTAAGATACTCTTTATATTTATGTATATTTTTGTTGAACAAATTCAAACAATTATCCAGTTTCTAAAAGGTTCAAATATATTTCGTATATTTTTAATTAAAATGTATATTCAGAACATATGGCATAAATACAAATACTAATAAGCAAACAATGCGAAATTTGTTAACAATTAAGAATAAACTTTTCTTTGATTACATTATTACGTCAATACTGCACAGCAGTAGCCAGGCTAATGAAAAGGGGGAAAAACTACGGCAAAAGAAACTGGACTCTTTCCCGAAGAAAAAAATGGAAAAAGAACTCCGCCTGGTCTTCAATCTTTGAGTTCGCGCCGCCCGCGTTGGCTAATTACGAATTCAGGCAAGGAAAATAAAAACAATTTCCGAGGGTTGGAAAATTGAAACAAATCTAATAAATGGAACCAGAAATGTGCGTACATCAAGTCTAAGTGAATTTCGAATCGAACTTTCAGCTTCACCCGCTCAAGCAGGCGGCACACGTAATGAGATACTCGGACAGGACAACGGATCCGTTTCGAAAGCACAAAAAAAAAAATATTTGCATAATTTTCTTCAACAGTTTTCCGTTATTTCAATGTCTGCATTTCAAGTAATTTTTTTCGCCCAATTTTTTTTTCGTAGCTCTGCAATTAAACGTGTAATTACTCGACTGCTTAAAAATGCGCGAGGTGTCCGGACTGCGAAGGGTGCGCTGCTACCTATAGGTTTTTCGTATTTTGCCTTTCTTTTTTTTTTGTTTTAATTTGCAGCCAACATTATTCTAATTGTTGTTGTTGCTCCTGCTTTGCTAACGGAAGTTTTGCGCTTGTTTTCATTTGATTTTCCCATTTATTATGGTCTGAGTTATTAGCGCGCTCTCTCAATTACAGCAGTGGAAGGAAAAAGAAGTACAAAAGTCTGGGGCTCTGTTTACTTGTTGTGACATTCTCAAGTGGTGCATAAAAATGAACAATGGGGTGGTAGGCGGGGGTGGCTGAGAGGGGGGGTGGTAATTGGTGGCTTAAGGCAGCCTCTTCTGTGCTCTTCACAAAGTTAAATAGAGCATATCTGTACTTAGTCTTGCTATTCGATTGTGAGTATAAAAAGAGCTTATACGCGCTTACCGAGTGCTGTGGGGTATATTTGCTTTAGTTTGGCTTTAATGTAAAAACTCGTTCATAAAGTCTAAACTTGTCTTGCTCTATGGGAATATATTCAGTTTTGGCTTATGTTTGTCACATATTGTTAAGGGTATATAGGTTTAATGCAATGCACTTCTTATGCTCTGTTCACAATATTTGTAAGGAAATGAAGCCTATTTCTACTTTGCCTTGCAATTCGTTTATGCATATTTATAGGCCTCATACACGCTTCTCGAATGCAGTGAGGTATATTGCTTTTGGCTTAGCTATTTACTTGAATTTCTTATACTTCTTCACAGAGTGTAAAAGGCAAGTTTTAGTTCTAGTTCATTGTACATCTTGCTTACTTGGTTTTTGCCTATAATTATTCAAATATTATAAAGAGTATATTGGTTTTGTGTAATGCCCTTTTAAACATTTGTTGATAGCATTACAAAAATGTACCTAAAAAGCATCTCAATTAGGAAAAAGTCTAGGCGCTCGAAGGCTACAGTGTATGAGTATAATTTTAGTTGACTTTTTGAATCCCCTGTAAAAATATCGGAAAATAACTTTTTAGCCTACCTTCATGGGGATACCCAGCTTAAGTTATGCAGACAATCATATGTTACATAAACGTACTTACATCGAACTGAATTAAAGACAAGAGACGGAGCTACTGCTGCTCAAACACAAGCAGCTTCAATAGTTGACAAAACTGACGTTCAAAAGGCACTTTAATCACATAGTTTTAGAGTCAATCGAACAACAAGCAACAATTCAGATATCAAACATTCATATTTAACCATAAACAGTGCATTGAGCAGTCATTCAGAAGCAGCTCCAGTCAATACAAACGCATAAGTTGATAATTTTGTTTTGAACTTGATATCAAGTTGCCATCAATAAATTGGCATCGATACAGACGAAGCTAACAGAAGTGGACTCGACACTAATCTTTTCAAATAAAGGATATCCATAACGGTATCCGTTCAGTGTCCGGCTGATGTGCCGCGTGGAACACAACTCCAAAGGCACAAAAAGTCGCTGTCGGGAGCAAATGGACAGGCTGCACTTAAGGCTACTCAAGGCAGCCAGACACAAAGTCTGAGCAGAACAACAGCAACAAAGAGCAAGCGGAAGACTACAAAAGCTTCGATAAAGTTGTAATAAAAATGATTTCCTTAAAGCGTGGCTGGGAAAGAGCGGAAAAGTGAAATTGGCAAAAACGCGCCAGCGCCACGCGAAACTCTATTAGCGAGCTAGACAAAGGAGCCGCAGCAGCTGCCCCTGCTCGAATAGTTTTATGATTTTTATAGCAACTGACAGCAGGATGTGAGCAGAGAAAGAGAGCGGGAGCTGAGCTGAGGCTGCCAGCAGGATATGGCCATCAGTTTTGGTTCTTGGCTAAAATAAATTTCATTTGATTTTTGCCACTGACGAATTTTGCTCATTTGCGATAAACTAATGGAGACGATGGTAAGAGCAAGGGCGAGGGCATAGCAATTAGACCAAACAATTGATGCTGCTTTTATGCCATGTTATCAGCCAGCAAATGGCCAAAGCTTGGCAAGCAGACATCAAGTTGTTTAGGCGCGCTCCTCTGCGCAGAAAATTGTGTGGAAAATTGCGTCGCATCTAATCCTGCGCTGATGTCTTGTAATTGGCTTTAAAGTTCTGCGAGCTCTGAGTCAAAGTTTTTAAGCACATGTCATATGTGCTGGTGTGTGTGTGTGGCATGTGGCATGTGGCACATGCGACACGCTAAGCTTAGCACTGAGTGTTTGCTGCTTTATCACGACTTTCAGTTTTGTCCACCCTCTACCTTAGCTCGTGTTGCCTGAGCGCACTTTTTGCATACTCATTCTATTGCCACATATCCTGTGTGTGTGTGTGCGTGCAGGAGTCGTAAATCTTGCTGGCCAAAAAAACAGCGTGCAGTGCGTCGCGTCTGTCTGCATCATAAATCATATGCAGCCAAGTAGCTGCTTACACAAAGATACTTAAGTATCTATAAGATACGCTACGTGCATCTGAGCGTAAGCAAAGCAAATTTGATCATTTTTACGCTTTTGACATGTGAATTGCTGTTGGGGCCAAACACCCAACGAACCACTCAGCCACCTATAAATAGCATATCCTTTTGTAATTACACTTTGACTCATCGGAGTTGTTAAAACTTACTTGAAGCTGTTTTTTTTGTATTCAGAGTAGTGCAATCAGTATCTAAGTATCTGTAAAGTGTAATATATTGAAGCAAGTTAATTAAGTTACAATGTCGGCAGCTTTGTAAGAGCATTGAACTTATAGACAGGTATAGAAAGTTTATTTCTAGCAATCAATAACTCAATATAGAAAATAATTTTTTTAATAAAAACTCTTAAGTTTCAATGTTTTTGTATTGTATATTTAGTTTTATTAAATCTAACTTAAAAAACCGACAATTTGAAATTAAAGAAATTTAGTAAAATATTTAGCGGTTCATAGTTCAAACTTGTTGGTACCTTAAAAATCTATAAAATTAAATTAAGCCTATATACATTTAATTCACACACTTGTGGACTCATTGGCTCATATATCTTTAATTGTGAATATTGTAAAAATTAGTATTCAAACTGAAATTATATTTCAAAATTAATGTCATAAAATATGCTATCCAATAAAAAGTATTTTATTAATGTTTAAAATATATTTAATTATTTTATTATGATTTAAACTTATGTAACTCTAAAAGAAATTTCCAAATTATACTTTATAAGGTCAGCCACTTCCATTTCTGCCTCTTACACACATGTTAAGAAGCGCTTTATGTACATTTCACCCATTACACATTTTCTATTATTTAAAAGTAAAAAAAGTTAAGAGGTTGAAAAAATCATTGCCAGAAAATTATCATTATATCACTGATAGAAACTTAGACTGAACTAGCTTCACTAACTGCCCCAACTCTAAATAACCCAAAATAAATTCCATATAATAACAAAGAAGAACAAAGAAGTTTACTAGAACTTCTTGTATAAAACAATCAATTGTTTGTTTTCAAATGTTTTTCCATTGCTCAACTCATTTAAGTCGCTGCCGAGCTGAGTGAGTTTTAGCCCCAAGTGCAACCCCTTCGGAGAAAGCAATCTCAGCCATGATGACTAGCGGGCAAAAACTATCTGATGCGTCGCACCCAGGAGACAGGCTGCCAATTAACAGTTACATGTTTGTACAAAATAATTGGGTTGCGTGACACGAGGATAAGCGACAGCCGGGACAGCCAGCACAGCCAGGACCTGGCTAAATAGTAAACAAATAGAGGAACTTGGCTTAAAACAAACACAGCGCAACTATATAATTATGAGCGTGCGCACTTATTGCTGATAGTGCGTCATCATCGTTATTATC